ACCAGCGAAACCTGCGACGGATCGCAAAAATTGCAAGTGTGTGAACATTTGAAACACTGAATATGAAACAAGTGGAATCATGAGCAGTCATTCAGCCATCACTATCAAGCAGAAGTGGCGGCAGGATTGGAGAACACCTTGCAGTATTGATCGGGCACTTGTGATTTCCGTGACCCGTCGCGTGAATCGCGCAAATCGAATCGCGCAAATCGCGAAAATCAGCGAAACCTGCGACGGATCGCGGACTCTGACACCAGCCTAACCTTGGCGCACTGTCTTAACCTCCTACTCTACTGCTATCCTACTATTCGTAATCTCGTAATCCACTACTCTCCAGCGATTTCAGATCGTACTAATCTTGTCCACCGAACTATTTTACTCGCCTACAATCCTGATCTACTACTATCCTAATCTCCCTGTCAAGTCACATCTTTTCACTAACTTCGCAGTCGCAAACTATGAACAAGAGTCTTCGCTACACGAGCGATGCACCAGCGATTGACCGGTAAGGACTCAAAACACAATAGCCCCTCAAAGCTCATTCTACCCGCTAGAATTCAAAGAGAGTAAAAAAAACCTATCTTTGGTTCTTTGTACGTAGTTTTGAGCCAAAAATGTCACACGAACAGCAATTGCATACATCATATAGCGGGTGTGGTTCGCTGGGACAGAAAAGGACTTCTTAGCACAGGCTAAACGTTCTTTCGCTGCGGAAACCTCAGGTCCACAACTGATCATTAGTGGACCTGAAGCTTCCCGCAGCGAAAAATGTTTCGCGCTGCGAAACGCCAAAAGTCGCTTTCTGTCCTAGCGAACCACACCCTCACCGAGCCATGATGTTAACTGTATGATGTGTCCAGTGTAGGTCAAACGTAACGCAAACTATTTCTATAGAAGCACCTACATACATAAAAGAGAAACGTCGAAATCAAAAACAATGCACACGCGCCGCTCATCTACGCAAGGTCACGGACAACACAGCATATTTGGCGGCACAATCGGAACGATAAGGCCCTGTTCAGAGATGTCCGCTTGCGCGAAAAAACGCATAGGCGAAACAATGTGAAATATGTATCGACTGAACGAAGACGCACAGGCGAATCGTGAAGTGGGAGGATCGACGAAAATGAGTATCATACGCATCGACTTACGAACGCTTCGCTCACGCGATTTTCCGCCTGTGCGTTTCTCACAGTCGATACATATCAAACTCTTGACTGAAATTCGCCTGCTCCGGACGTTTCGCTTACGCGTTTCACAATTTCTCAGTCGATGCGTATCTAAATCTTGGCGGAGATTTTCGCCTGTGCGTTTTTTCGCGCCGGCGGACATCTCTGAACAGGGCCTAAGTGGAGCGTAGGGGAAGAGTGCGCTTCTACTATTTTGACA